CGTGCCATGTGAATGGGTTCATGCGTGTGCATGCATGAGTGTGCTCATGTGTGTTTGCATGTGTGTGTTCATATGTGTACAAGCATTATCATTTCATTTTTATTTCTTGTTATTTTTTTCCAATATTCTGATATTACTCCAGGTTATTTATTCAAATCTAGGGATTCAAAGCTTGGATTCAAAATTAGAATTGTTTATACATTATAATTATTTGAAACAATTGTTCACCTTTCTCTATATAATGATAATAAATATTAGTTGCTTAAGAAATTCTCACAACAAATGGTAAATTTATTTGTAAGTGTTATTATGTCTCAGGATATCAAAAATAATAAAATAAAAATAAAAGTTTTAAAAGGTTGACAAATGATATAAAATAGAGATGTTTTGATAAAGAGAGAAGTATGTATGAAGATTAAGATGGCTGGATATTTCCAGAATAGAAGGGGTAATGAGGACATTTAAGCAAGTTTACTGAAGGTCTGAGCAGGTTGTAGAGATACAGAGTTGTTATACACTAATTACTGTCATATTATGGAAGTGTTGCTTTTGGTGTTTTCTTTTGCCCATAACAAGATAATTTGACTCAAGAGGAGCTAGGTTTGCCTCCCTGTACCAGATAGGTATAGTCAAAAAAAAAAAAAAAAGCAGTTTCTATGAGCTTGATATGCAGCCTGATCAGCTTATTTCTTTTCTATAGGTATGTGATGTGACCACCCCCCTTCCTTCTGAAAAACTGTAAATCAAGGTATGGGATTCTGGGAAAGAATACACTGCTTCTGTTTGTACTAAAATAGCCTTCATTTGAAACAGACATAAGAAAAAAGCATTACAAAATGAAATAAAAGCAAACAAAGCTTTATGAAGAGTGTTGCAATCTGGGTGTAGTATCACACACCTTTAATTCCCACCCTTGGGAGGCAGAGGCAGGCATATCTCTGTGTATACAAGTCTAACCTGGTCTACATAACAAATTCCATCTCCACACTTGGGGTGGGGTTGTCAGGAGAATAATATCAGGAATCCTATGTCATCCTTGCCTATGTAGTAAATTTGACCCAGCCTGGAAAACAGGAGTTCTTTTAGAAATGAAAGAATGGAAGGGACTGGAGAGACAGCTCAGTGGTTAAGAGCACTGGCTGCTCTTGCGAAGAACTGGGGTTTGATTCCCAGCACCCATGTTGCAGCCAAAAACTGTCCAGGGGAATCCAATGCCTTCTTCTGACCTCTGAGTGCATTATACAACACAGGTGCACTTACACAAATGCAGGCAATATATTCATACACATAAAATAATAATAATGAATAAAAATAAAAATATTTTTAAAAGAAGGAAGGAAGGGAGGGAGGGAAAGAGGGAGGGAGAGAGGGAGGGAGGGAGGGAGGGGAGATCAGAAAAAATTCCAATAAGACATCAGACAACTTTCAGCAGTGTGTTCTCTACTTTCATCATATGGTCCATGGGGTTGAACTCAGTAGGGTCACAGGTGCCTTTACCTATAGAGCCATCTCATCAACCAATTAAAGATTATTTTTGCTTTTTAAAAATGAATTATTGAAACAAGGTCTCACTATGTATCACTGTTGCCTGATCTGGAATTTGCTATGTAGATCAGGCTTGAACTCACAGAGTTCCATCTACCTCTAACTCTGAGTGCTATGGTTAAAGTATGTGTCACTACATGTCGCTTAAAGTGTGTGTGTGTGTGTGTGTGTGTAGGCGTGCATTCATGTGCTGTGAAGCACACATGGACATCAGAGGACAACTCTATGGAGTTGGCTCTCTCCCGCCACCTGGTGGGATCAAGGGACCTAACTCAGGTAATCAGGTAAAGTAGCCTTTATATACGGAGTTATCACCCAGGCTTCCTTTTCTTGAGAACTTGCATCAAACAGAAAGAAAAGGACTAGGATGTGGTTCAGTTGGTACAGTGTTTGCCTAGTGCGCACACGTGTCTGGGGTTGTTAACTAGTATCCCATAAAATGAGAGAGAGAAAGCAATCCTTTAAGTCCTAAAAAATCACCCTCAACAATCAGAAAATAAACAGGCTTTTTTCTCTTTCTCTCTGTGATAAGGTCAAATTAAGAGAAATGGCCCTCAACAGCTTTGAGGTCCCTGTATAGCTCAGGATGAACTTGAAATCTGATTCTCATGGTATGACAGCTAAGTACCACTAACCCTGGTTTGTATAACACAGTGGATACAAGTCAAGTCCTCTTGTATACTAGGTAAACTCTACAAAGCCACATTCCTAGTCCACATCATGTGACTCTTATTTTTCCTTCACCCTGGCCCATCCTAAAGAAAATCACACAGAAATTATAAACGTGCTTGGTGTTCCCTCTGTTGCCTGTTTTGGCTTTCCAGAAAGTACTTATTTGTTTTGAGACAAGGTTGCACTATGTAGGCTTGGCTGACTGGGGTCATGCCAGGGGTATCAGACTGGCCTTGAATCCACAGAAGTCTGCCTGCCTTTGTCTCAAGTGTTGGACTGAAGGTGTATGCCATAACCTGGGGTCTTTTTTATTTTTGAACTGTGTTTCAACATGTAGCCCAGACCAGCCTTTGACGTCTGGATCGTCCTGCCTCAGCCTCCAGAGTGTTAGTGGCTCCCCATCCCTAGCAACATCATAGACAGTCTGATGTACCTCCCACCAATCCATATTCTGCAGTTTCACAAGACAGCATCTCAGGATCACAGAAGTACTCAGCGTGCAATGTTTTCAGTCACTATCCCAGACAGCAGCTCTTCCCTCTCCACTTCCTCCTCACTACCTTTCCTTCCTTTCTTAGTTGTTTGTTTGGTGCTGCAGAGGATTCCATCAAGGGCTTCATGTGGGTGTGGCCAGAGGTGTGCCTCCGAGAAACAGGAGCAAAACTTGTATTTCTCACCATCCTCTGCCCCTGGAACTCAGAGTGCTCTCTCTTCTGCCTATGGGAGGACCTAGGGACAGGGCCTTTACCCATCCCCACATTCCTCATGAGCAGTACTAAACACATGGAAGCCCTCTCCCAGATGGGCTCAGAAATGGCCTCACTGGCTCTACCAGTCACAACTGACTGAGCTTTGACACCCTCTCTCCCTGAGACAGGATCTCCTGTACTCCACATTTGCCTGGAAATCCCTATTCTGACACAGTCCTTAAATTCCAGATCCCCTTCTCTACCTCTGGGATCAGAAGCATGCATGATCAAAACCCAGAGCTCAAAACCCAGTTCTGTCCTGTTTTTATTCTTTTTCTTTTCTATAACTTCATCCAAAGCCTTAATTCTTTAATCTTGAGAAATAAGCGGGAATCTTCAGTGGACCATCTTGGCAAGCTGCTATCCTTGAAGTTGGGCTCAAGGTGGAATGGATAGCATTCCCTTGGGAAGATGACTTAACCAGTCCAGAAGGCAGGGCACCAGACCTCCAAGCAGAGATTGTAGCTACTCAACTATAGAAGGCTCCGCTGATTTCTGAGTCTTTTAAGGACCTCTGGGACCACATATCCCTTAAGATGCTGGCTTCCATTCCCAGGGGCTGATGGACCAGTTTCTTGATCCCACCCAGTTCATCATCATGGAATAATGGATACTCAGGGGAGCTGATGGCCCCCAATGTGCAATCTGAAGGAAAAGGAATCAGCGACAGTTTGAAGTCTCATTCATTCCACTCCAGGAGCACTGACTGAGGGTTGCAGATACATGGCCCCAGAATCCAGAATGTGGGGTGGGCAAAGGCTTCATCTACTTCTGGCCTTAGATATAAAAGTCAAATTTGGGGTCCTTGGCATAGCTCAGCAGGTAAATGCATTTCCACAGAAGGCTGATGACCAGAAAGTTATCCTGACCCCATTTGATTACCATGGTACCATGTGTTCCTACACACACACATACAAACACACACACACACACACACACACACACACACACACAGAGGTACTGATATGTTTGTGAAATGAATATTAGTTTACTGAGGTTCTCAAGCTATTGCAGATTTAGATGGAAGGGGCTGAAATCCACAGCTTCCCACATGATGGGCATAAGCTAAAACCTCAGCCCTCAACCCAAACTACATAATTTTCCAGCTTCATCCTGTCAAATAGAGACCACAGTGTGGCTCACGATGCCTATTTGGCTTGACTGCTAGCACTGAAGTGGTAAGCCCACTTCACTTAGCACTCTGACGGTCAGCTACCAGGGTTTGGGTTTTGATTCTGTGGATATTTGGAGGAATCTTTCATGCAGGTATCTGGGTATAAATAAAGTTTTTCACAGGAACTTGGTATGTCGAGTTATGCTTATAATCTGAGGAATATCGGAGGTTGAGGTGGGAAGAGGGCCTCCGTTTTTGAGACCAACCTGGATCAGAGTGAGATCAGTGGATCAGTGAATACCTTCACTGCTGAGTCATTTCCTTGAGACAGCTTTAGGAAATTGGGGGGGTCATTACCTTAAGTTCTGAACCCACTGGTGACATCACCTGGATAGTCCCAATCCAACAAGCACACATATGACCCCAGATACACTAAAGGGCCCACACCTCAAAACTCAATGTGGTGAATCTGGGAAAGGGACAGGTGAGGAGAGTGGTAGAGAGGGTTAGAAAGATGAGAAAGTATTGGGGAAAAGGTCCCCACAACACATCAGACATGAAAGGAGCTGTCGAATAACTAATAAAAACAAGGAGTTTTCAAGTTCTCAAAGAACTGTATTCCTTCTGAACTTGAAGCTGAGTGCAAGTTAATGGACCACAGAGGTAACAGAGTGAGGACCTCCGGGTTACAGGCTTTGACCACTACACAGTCACCACCACTGCAGATTCCCACTGTTTACCTGTCTTGCCAGGAGTCGTTTGGCAATTCGGAATTGTCTTTCTAACTCCACAGGAAAATGTCCCCATGGGTCCATTATTCCCCATCTCAACTGTCACCCTCTAATCAGTACCCACTGCAACATCTTTTTCCCACACACATTGAATATAGTTTGAATCCACATGCTCTGTCTCCTGAGTCATTATTTACTTAAGTGAACGATAGTGATAACTTTCAGGTCCTTGTGATAGAAGACATAGGATGAATCGCGTCCTGTCTTGGGCTGCAGAACATTCCTCACTGTGTCCTCAAGCTCAGTACGAACTGTGTTACATCTCTCTATGAGGAGCTCACCCTCTTCTCCATAACACTCACGAGGCAGAGAGTACAGCTCCAGTGTCAGCTGGCTCAGACTGGCGGTGTGTTGTATCAGATTCTTCAGGTCAGGCACAGAGAGATAAGTCATATAGAAACGGAACTCGGTGAGCTGGGAGCAATGGCTCAGGACAGGCAGGAGGCCACTGAGGTCGGGTGTTCTCAAAACACAGCCTTCCAGTTCTAGGATCTGCAGAGTGGTTGCCAGTCTTTCTAGTAGAACTTGGAGGTGCTGACTGGGCCAATAAATAGGTCTGACACGACTCAGATTCAGGTGTTTGAGCTGACAGATGCTGGGGCACTCGGACAGATAATGCCAGTCTGACTCTGAAAGTTTACACCAGGTAAGTGAGAGGGTCTCCAGAGGCTTTTTCAAGTACCTGGGGAGAGACAAAGCAGTTTAGTTCCTGAAGGTTTTTCAGGTGGTAGGTGGGAGATTACGATGAGGTAGGAAAGGCCAGTGAGCCTCAACGTCATCCTGCCCAAGTGATGAGGGTGAAATTCAGCAAGCTCCCTGATGGGAAGTCTGCTCACACAAGTCAGCTCACTCTAGCCTGAGAGATCCCCCATCACCTTGTGAGTGGATCATCCACATCTCTGCAGCTCCCTCTCCCTCTGTGAAGCAGAAAACCACAGTGCTAGAGAGAAAATATCAACAGGAAAAGCCCAGAAGGACCAGTCCGTGGACATCCAGTTCTACCCCTGAGTATGTCAACTGTGTGGGGCTCACTGATGCCTTGCTGGCTCTCCACAGGGGTTCAGTGTTTTTTCTTCTCCCTGTCCCTGTCCCCTCATTGGTAACCCCAGTGTCACATATTTCCCATCTACCCAGCCCCTAACTTGGCTCAGAACAGCTTTTTACACACAGGGAACTAAAGGCAGGCTGATGCCTGTTCACTCAGATCTGAGCAGAGTTCACCTAGGGAACGTCAGTGTGAGTTCTCCTATACTCAAAGATCTGCTTCTTCCCTCCCATAGAGACCATTACCAGACCATGGATCCATATGTGTCCCTCTGAATTTACTGGGGTGACACACCAAGTTGATTTATAACACAACCAAGTCAGTGTTTCCATAACCTAATGTCTTCTTCATTTCTGTTACCTCCACAGTGGCTGGGAAACCACAGGTGTCCTTTAATGTTCAGTGTAACAAAGAAATGCATTGGTCTGAACTGTAGAGACAGCTCTCCATCCTTCCTTACCTGAGGAGTTGGTCCAGGCGGCCTTCAAGAAAATGCACATTACACATGTAGAGATGCTGAAGAGTGTGGAGTTTGGGGAACTGAGAAATGAACGCGTTGATCCATGTCTTCTCCAGATCTCTGTACGTATCTTCAAACTCATCCCTCCATGACTTACAAGTTCCTTTGACAAAGAGTTTGTGAAGGTTTCTCATCTGGCCCAGGACAGGGGCAAAGGTCTCCAGGGTTTTCAGGTCCAAGTTTGCAATCACTTTCACTTCCTGTACGCAAACTGGGTCAAATAATTTCAGGAGACTCCAGAAATTATAGTCAGTTGCGTAAGAAATCTGGACCTTCTTACAGCACAGATGCAGCCAAGACTTTCTCTGCTGGGCCCACTGGATGAAGCATTCTTGTCTTTCATTGATATCCTCCTCATACTGGAGGGAGTAGTCAAACAACACTTTCAAAGGCCGCTTCACTCCACAGTCTGCATGAGCCTCCATTGGCTCATCCCATGGGAGGTGGCGGTCCTCATACCCTGCTCCAGGCCACACAGTGCGTAAATCTAGCACCTCCAGGTTCCACCTCCTGTGGGTCAAAGAGGTAGAAGCCGCAGATGATAAGACTCAACTCATCACCAGACACTATCACCCATCTCATCTCTCCCTTTCCCTGCCGTCCTGCAATTTGTTTCTCTTTCTGAGACAGAGTCTCGCCAAAATCCACCTTCTTCTGCCTCCTGAGTGCTGGGATTAAAGGCATTTGCCACCATACCCAGCTGTACATTTTTTATTATTTGTATATTTATTTATATTTTTATGTGAATTAGTGATAGCCCTGCGTAAATGCAACTGTGCCCACAAAGGAGAGAAGAGGGGGTCGATCCCCTGGTACTTTAGTTATGGTCATTTGTTAGCCACTATGTGGGTGTTCAGGTCTTCTGCAAGAGCAGCCCGTGCTCTTAACTGGTAAACCATCTCTCTAGCCCTATTTTCATATTTTAAACCCAGAGCCTCATGTACATTAGGAAGGTGTATTTGTCTTAGCTACATCTCTAACCCTCTCTCACTTCCAGCCATTTCGTTCCTCTTCAGTACAACTGGGTCCCACATCTCCCACCTGCGAGAGGCAGGGACTAGAGCCATTCCTTATCCTGGATCTCTTCTAGGTTCTCCTGCACACATGAAGCTCCTTCTGCAGACAGCTCAGTAATGGCTCAGATCTCTGCACTCCTTCCACATGATGCCATCAGAAGCCTCTTAGCCCTTTAGACAGCCTTCTTCTGACCCCTGTTGTCCATTCTCTGCACCCACGTGGCATCCCCTCCACACTACCTTGGACTTGCTCACCTTGGTCGATCCTTTTGAGTAATCAGCAAATCCAGTCCATCCAGCACAGCCTGGAAGGTCTCCATTTTGGGAGGAGTCTTCATCAGGTCTCCCAAGCGGAGGCAGGGGAAGGGCCAGGCTGCTACCATCACCCTCACACTCTTCCTGTGACAGCCGGTGAAGGCCTCCTGGAGCAGTGGAGGAAAGAACTTCTTGGGCAAGTACTCCATATTGGAGATATCCAAGGCCTCACTCCTCAGAAGGCTCTGCACTGTCAGGTCCCAGAGTGTGGGTTGGGCCTGAACACTCATCCTGGTGAATCTTCAGGGAGACTGATCCTGGAGAAGCAACCTGAAAAAAACACATCTTCCAGTGGAAGGTTTAAAAAGCCCTTTTCCCTCTGTCACTATGAATCAACTCTTGGCAGTCATGGCTTACACTGATGGAAAGCGTCCTTTTTCCCATTTGTCTGGCAACATGGTGGACTGAGTCACTCCACTGAGGTGTACTCTCCATCGCCCTACCCAATTCTGACCACTGCTCCTCTGAACCCTATTCTCCTGGGAAGGGGGTACTCTGGATTGTGAAAGCTGAGACCATTGCTTCAGGGTGAACCATCTCTGGTTACCTCTCATGCTCTCAAAGGAAAAATGAAAGGTTCCCTACCCACCTTCCGACATTCTGTGTTCAATAAATGGAACCTGGCTTTGAACGAGTGGAGAGACTCTGAAAAGGCACCTTTACTTTTATTTCCAGAGCCTTTAGAAGCAGTAGTGATCATCTCAGTATTCAGGACAATGAAACAGGAGAAATGCAAATTTGATGCTAGGCTGGACTGGACCATAAGACAGTGTCCAGCAGGGCACAATCGAAGTTAATATCTTTTAAAAGTAGCTGTGTGTCCTGGAGCAGAGATGTTGAATTGACACAAGGGAGGACTTCTACATTGCATGGGGAGTCTAGCCAGCACCCATGGATTCCTGCCCAGACTACCAAGTGCTGGGATTCCACCTACTTTCTTATTTTCATTTGTTACAGTATATTACCAAGTAGCCCACCCTGACCTCATTTCGAATCCAATGCCTCAGTTGCCCAAATCAGAGGTTAGTGGTCTCTCTTACCACACCTTGTTCCCAATACTGTTTTGAAGGTCCAAATAAAAGGAAAATTTATTTTCTATAAACATTAAACAGTAATCCATGACAGGAATCATTAAAGGGATTAAAAACTGATTAGATTATGAGGAAAGTAAATTCCTGCAAACTTGGTGGCTCGATTCTATAGCCCAACATAATTTGAGTAGTTACAGAGCTCAGAAATATAAGGCCTTCCAGAGCAGCTGGCCCTACTGGAGACTGTGACCTAAAAAATTCAAACTCAGACCAGCCAAAAGCAGGGTGTTGTGGCCTGAGCCTTTCTACCCAGCACTCTGGCGGCAGAGGCATGCTAGTGTCTGTGACTTCAAGGACACCAAGGAGTACTTAGAATCAGCCTAAAACAAGAAAAACGAAAACAAAAAAGTAAAGAAACAAATATGAATTCTGATCAAATAAGCCTTTTTCACTTAGCAACAAGGAGAAATTTCCTCTAATAAATTCTGGGTTTTTGCTCCATTAAACTCTTGCCACTCTCCAGGGTTTTCCTCATTTTCTCTTAATAACTCTAATAAATCTGAGCACGCAGGAGACCCCGTCATTCCATCCTCAGCATCCCCAGCCAGCAGGGCACAGAGACAAAAGACAAAATCTGATGGGTGTGATGGCACACACCTTTAATCCCACTCCTCAGGAGGCAGAGCCAGGTCTCCATAGCTGGAGAGATGGTCAGTGGTTAAAAGCATGGGCTGTTTCTCCAGAGTCCTGGAGTTTGCGTTCCCAGTACCCACATAATAACATCTAATAGTTCTCAACTCCAGTCCCAGGGGACTCCTTTGCCCTCTTCTGGCCTCCACAAACACTGCACACACCAATTCATTTAACTCATGCAGGCAAAACACACACACATAAAATAAATACTACTAAAACAAAACAATAATCACAAATTAAGAAACAACATAAAATATTTGCGATGAAGGAAAAGCTATACTTAAACACCAGTCTTCAGTCTGCTCTTCTGAGAGACAGAAATAAGAACTCCCTGTGCCATCTTGGGTCTCAAGGCCCCAGTGGAAAATGGCAGGTTTGGTGAGATGGGGTGTCCTCATGCAGTGGGTGACTTACCAGAGATGGTCCCGGCAACAGGTCTATTCCCAGCAGGGTCTGGCAGTGTCTCCTGTCTCCAGGAATCTGATTGTCTTCTCTGACTCCTCTGCATCTTTTATAGATCTTTCTATCATTGCCTCCCTTTGGCTGCTCCACCTCCAAACTACAAGCTGTCACCTGATTGGATGAACAGGTCTCCATTCTGTTAATCTCACTTGGGATTTTGGGTGTGTCCAGACTGGCAGAATCAGGTCTCCAAGAGGATTAGGGAGTGAGCTGAGGCTAAGGAGAAGGTGAAGGACTCCTTCACGGATACACTGCACACACGGAGACTTCCTTCCTTCCTTCCTTCCTTCCTTCCTTCCTTCCTTCCTTCCTTCCTTCCTTCTTTCCTTGTATCTGTCCTCCTCCCTCCCTTCCTCTGTCCCTCCCTTCTTTCCTTCCTTTTTCTTTCTTTACTTATTCATGTATTTCTTCTTTTCAGACAGGACTTTATACAGTTTGATTGGCTGGGAAGTCACTATACATCCTAAGAGGAGCCAGGTATTATGAGGTTTCCTCTGCTTCCTCCTTCCCAGTGCTGAGATTACAGAGACCTGTTTCTTTACAGATTTCCAGGAGACTGTGATTGGTTTCATTATTCTTGTTTTTTAATTTTGGTTTTTGGTACTGAGGATGGAACCCAGAGTCACATCCTGCAGAGCAAACAATGACTCGTGAAGCTCATGTGCTGTCCTTTCCCTCCTTTAAGAACATTCTGGCAGGAGGTGGTGGCACACACCTTTAATCCCAGCACTTGGGAGGCAGAGGCAGAGGCAGGTGGATCTTTGTGAGTTCAAGGCCAGCCTGGTCTACAAAGTAAGTTCGAGGGCAGCTGGGGCTACAGGGAGACCCTGTCTCAAAAAGACAAAAAAGAAAAAAAAAGAAAGAAAGAAAGAAAGAAAGAAAGAAAGAAAGAAAGAAAGAAAGAAAGAAAAGAAAACATGCTCCCTTTTCCTAATATCAGGGGTTGGACTCAGTGTTAAGTAGCTCCAGCACTGAACTAAGACTCCAGCACTGCAACGTTGCTCTTTCTCTTGTTTTTTATTTTTATTTTGTTGTTGTTGTTTGGAACTTGATAACTAGAATGGAACCCAGGATCCCCCCACCAATTGCTAAGCAAAGAATTTAGCCCTGAGCTGTAGATTCAGACCTCAACCCTGTGTGCACTTTTCATTTTGAGCCAAGGTCTCACTAAATTTCCCATATTGTCCTTAACCTTGAGATGCTTCTCCCATAGGGTCCCTAGGATATGGGAATCTAGTCTACTGCTATTTTTTTTGGTTTTTTAAAATTTTTATTTATTTATTTTTTTACTTTATGTGTATGCATGTATTGCCCGCATGTAGGTAAGTGCACCCATGTCGTGCAATGCCCGAGAAGGTCAGAAGAGGCTGTCATCCCCTGGGACTGGAGTTATGGACAGTTGTTAGCTGCCATGTGGTTGCTGAGATTTGAACCCTGGTCTTCTGCAAGAACAACCAGTGTTCTTAACCACTGAGCCATCTCTCCAGCCTCAACTATTGTTTTTTTGAATACTTTATTTTTTTATGTGTATGAGTGTCATGCCTGCATGTATGTAAGTGCACACATGTCATGCAACGTGGAAGAGGTCAAAAGAGGGCACTAGATCTTCTGGAACTATAATTACAGTTGGTCATTTGCCACCATGTGGGTGCTGGGAACCGAACCTAGGTCCAATTCAAGAGCGTCAGTGCTCCTTACCACTGAGCCTTTTCTCAAGCTCCACCCAGTGCTGTTCTTAGCTTCGCACTACCAAAACTTAAAAGTAAAATGTACATGATCTGCCGCGTCTCATGTTTGCATCACTATGCAGAGAAGACAGAGGCTGGGTAATTGCTAGAAGTTTTAGAAGAATTTGGTCTAGAAAATGAATATCAGGTCAGTGTGTGCCAGAGAGTGACAAACTCCATCTCAATAAATAAACAAATGAGTAAATAAATGAATAAATAAATAAATAGCAGAGGGAGGCAGATTTCTTTGAGATCCATGCTGGTCTACCTCTGGAGTACCAGGCTGCCTGGAGCTACAGGGAGGGAAACCCTGTCCCCTGCACCACATCCCCCAAAAGTAAATACATGATTAGAATCATTCTGGGTTTTAACTCAATGGTAGTTGGTTTCCTTGTACATAGGAAAAACACCCCTTGTACATTGGGGTATCTTTTCCTTCTTCAGTTCACTGCTTTCAATAGGTTTTCATGTAGCACGGCTATATAGCTAGGATGCTATTAAATTTCTCATCCTTAGTCTCTACCTCCAGAGTGGATGGAGTTCAGGTGTGAACTGCTGTGCCAAGTTTTATGTGCCTCTGTGATCTCACCCAGGACATCATGCACATGACGTAAGCACTCTGCAGGCTAAGGTGCAGCCCTGCCCAGTTTGCATGGGGAGGTGCAGCTAGGTATGGTACTATATGATATTGCTTAGTCTTAAACTCTCAAAGTAACCCAGGCTTTTAATAAAATCCTGGCTATCTTCCTGCCTCTCACTCAGATATGGGACGTACAGACACATTCACCAACCCAACTTCCCTGTTTTATGCTTGTTTTCCTTTGAGAGGAAATGGTCTCTCTGTAACCCCAGCTACAGATTAGGCTAACATCCATCACACAGACTCTGGCTGCATATACCTCCTGAGTGCTGTGAGGCACTCAGCCTCTAGCAAAAGATATCTTATCAGCCTTCTTATAAATCTGGTTCCTTATCATATCCCCTGTCATAATGGAGAGTTCTCAAATGAAGAAATAAAAATAGTTAAGAAACAGCTGGCCAAGGGCTGGAGAGATGGCACTGACTGCTCTTGCAGAGGACCTGGGCTTGATTCCCAGCACCCACATGGTGGCTATGAACCGTTCTTAACTCCAGTTCCAGGGGAATCCAAAGCCCTCTTCTGATCTCCACAGCATTGCACGGCATGGGTGAACTCACATACATGCACGCAATACACTCATACACATAAAATAAAAATAGTAAAATACACATAAAATAAAAATAGTTGTTTCTTTTTAAAAAAGAAACAACTGGCCATGGTGACACAGGCTTTAATCC